CTTACCTCAACCTTAACATGTAACGTTACCTCAACCTTAACGTGTAAGGTTACATCAACCTTAACGTGTAAGGTTACCTTAACCTTAACGTGTAAGGTTACCATGGCCTTATCATATATACTCACCACACCCTAACATGTAACCTTACCTCCATGGCGGAAGTTTTTAGTTCACCTCAGGTCTACCGCAGCAATATTGTGTAACCTTATGTGCCTTACGATTAGTACTCAACATAACCTTACCTCATACTATGGTGCTATGTGGGTTTAGTTAATACAAAAATTACAAACACAAATTATTATGATTAAATACTGAAATTAAATTTTTTTCTAATCAGTTACACTTTTCTTATTTTTAAGGATATGTGTCTACATTGAACCACCCCCAAGTAGCACGCTGTATCACCTGAGTGTCATGGCGATATCTATCGGGGATATTCCTGTAATACTGAGGAAGTATCATAATGTCTGCTTTATTGAATATCCCTGTGACATTCCTGCGATATTGAGGGGATATTGCTGTGACATCGAGGAGATACTGCCGCGATATTGCTGTCATATTGAGGGAATATTTCACAAAATTTTCGCTATAATTTCAAATTTGAACTTATAGAAAAAATTTTGTGAAATATCCCCTCAATACCGCAGGAATATTCACTCAATATCACCGCAATATCCCGCCTTAATATCGCGGCAGTATCTCCTCGATGTCACAGCAATGTCCCATCAATATCGCAGAAATCTCACAGGGATATTGAGAAGAAGCGGACATTTTGTCACTTCCTCATTACCACAGGAATATCCCCGATAGATATCGCCATGGCACTTAGGTGATACAGCGTGCTACTTGGGACCTCTAATAAAATACTAAAATTTGCTTCGAAAATAATATTTCCACTTACACATTGTGAAAAATCTTATTTCCCACTCAAAAAAATAGAAAATTGTTGTTAAATAGTTATTATTTGTTAATATAGGAGATTAATATATTTCGATGTCAGGTTAGGTAGCAGAAGTGACAGTTTAAGTTTATCTCGTTCACAATTGTGATGAAAGCATGTTTTCCAGTATTTTTCTTACTAATTTGTAGAGCAGACTTCTTTACCATTCTTAAAATTGAAAATTCTTTGCTTTTTTGGGTGGTTCAATGATGCCGCACTCACTGTATTCACATGACATTCACAACAAAAAATGTTTATAATAAATTTATGTAAGACTTAAAATTCTGTTTCACATCGGAATATTGAAGTTGACACCCTAAGCGAAATAAATCAAAAGTTTACTAATTTTTAAAACTTCCTATTTCAATAAAAAAACGTCATTATAATTCCAACAAATTTTTTATTTTGTACGTGAAAAACAGTTTGTTAGTTTTTCTTTTGCAAATAATAAACCTACGTGCCGAAAATTTTTGGACATAGTCTCTTTCGGTAATACTAACTTACATATTGAATAAGAAAAAATTGAGACGCATGCTTATTCCCGAAATCTTTTTTGACCAAATAGTTATTTGATATAAAACTACTTAACTTAATATTCACATAATATGCACATTATTTGACATAAATTTCATTGTACACAAAAACCATTTAACATAAATATCATTTGTCATAGAATTCATTAAACAGAAATATTATGTTACATAAAACTCAGATAACTTAATTCCCATTTGACATAAAAATTATGTAACATAAATTTCTATTGACATAAAAATCATTTAACATAAATTTCTTTTGACATAAAATTCATTTAACGTAAATTTTATTTGTTATAAAATTCATTTGACATCAATTTCATTTGTCATAAATGTCATTTAACGTAATTTTCATTTGACATAAACATCATTAGACATAAAATTAGCTTCACATAAATTTCATTTAACGTGAATATCATTTAACATAATTATTATTTAACGTAAAATTTAATTTATACAAATTTCATTTAGCATAAATTCCATTAAATATAATTCTCATTTGGCATAAAATTTATTTGACATAAATTTAATTTGGTATAAATCTCATTTGACATAAAATTCAGTTGTCATAGATTTTATTTTACATAAAGATCATTTGACATGGAAATATAGGCGCGAATTTCAAAATTGGCGAATCACAATGTTGTTGATAATATCTAATTGGTTGCTTTTAAAATTCGCGCCGATATTGTTATGTAAAATGTAATTTGTGTAAAATGATTTTTATGTCAAATGAGAATTTTGTTGAATGACTTAGGACAAATGAGAATTGCGTTAAATGTCTTTTATGTCAAATGAAAATTATGTTAAATGGGATTTATACGAAATAAAATTTATGTCAAGTAAATTTTATGCCAAATGAGAATTATGTTAAATAGAATTTATGCTAAATGAAATTTATATAAATTTAATTTTACGTTAAATAATAATTATGGGTCAAAATAAGTAAAACCGGCCACTTGAAAAATTTTTATCTCCAATTTTCAAGTTATCTATGATTTTTAGTAGATATATGAGTACACTTTTTCCCCCTAAAATATTTTTCAAAAAAAAATTTTATTTTTGAAGTAATCAGGTATTGAAGTTTTAGGTCATTTTATTTTCATTTTATTATTACTTTGAAACAAATAAAGATAATTAAGTAATTTTTTTTTTAAATTAAAGCTTAAAGTCTATACTTTAAAGATGAAATAAAGCGATTGCTAAAAAATGAAAATTTATAATTGTTATTAACAATTCTTTTAAACAATTGCAAATTGAAGAATGTTCTCAATGTTTTTGAAAGATTAAATTACGATATATTGATGCGCAAAACTATAAGGATTCATTTAAAAAAAAGAAAAATGAGTAACCTCCAATATTATAGAAATTGTGTAGATTTTCCTGCCAAAATGCAGGCCAAAATCGATTTTTAATCTTAAAAATCCGCTTGAAAGCGTGAAGTTTCTAACAAAACAAAAGAAGATCTTATTTATTCGTTTGCAATTTTATCTTTTTCCAGGAACTTGAGTCAATTTTTGCTTGCATTTTGTCAGCAAAATTTACATAATTTCTATAATATTGGAGGTTACTCATTTTTCTTTTTTTTAAATGAATCCTTATAGTTTTGCGCATCAATATATCGTAATTTAATCTTTCAAAAACATTGAGAACATTCTTCAATTTGCAATTGTTTAAAAGAATTGTTAATAACAATTATAAATTTTCATTTTTTAGCAATCGCTTTATTTCATCTTTAAAGTATAGACTTTAAGCTTTAATTTAAAAAAAAATTACTTAATTATCATTATTTGTTTCAAAGTAATAATAAAATGAAAATAAAATGACCTAAAACTTCAATACCTAATTACTTCAAAAATAAAATTTTTTTTTGAAAAATATTTTAGGGGGAAAAAGTGTACTCATATATCTACTAAAAATCATAGATAACTTGAAAATTGGAGATAAAAATTTTTCAAGTGGCCGGTTTCACTTATTTTGACCCTTATGTTAAATGATATTCACGTCAAATGAAATTTATGTGAAGCTAATTTTATGTCTAATGATATTTATGTCAAATGAGAATTACGTTAAATGACATTTATGCCAAATGAAATTAATGTCAAATGAATTTTATAACAAATAAAATTAACGTTAAATGAATTTTATGTCAAAAGAAATTTATGTTAAATGATTTTTATGTCAATAGAAATTTATGTTACATAATTTTTATGTCAAATGGGAATTAAGTTATCTAAGTTTTATGTAACATAATATTTCTGTTTAATGAATTCTATGACAAATGGTATTTATGTTAAATGGTTTTTGTGTGCAATGAAATTTATGTCAAATAATGTGCATATTATGTGAATTTTAAGTTAAGTAGTTTTATATCAAATAACTATTTGGTCAAAAAAGATTTCGGGAATAAGCATGCGTCTCGAAAAAATTGCACTCAGTCTTTTCTCAGAAAATTGAAGTGGTTCACTGTTGACGCTAGTTCAATGTAGCCTGCTCTCCCCTACACATAATTCTCATTTGACATAAAATTCAGTTGTCATAGATTTCATTTTACATATAAAGATCATTTGATATGAAAAAGGCCCGAATTTCAAAATTGGCGAATCACAATGTTGTTGATAATATCTAATTGGTTACTTTTAAAATTCGCGCCGATATTTTTATGTAAAATGTAATTTAAATGAGAATTATATTAAATGACATTTATATCAAATGAAATTTATGTCAAGTGAAATTTATGGTAAATGGTTTTATGTCAAATGACTATTATGTCAAATAAGATTTCAGGAATAGTCATGCGTCTCGAATAGACCACTCGTCTTTTGCGAATGTGCATTTGATTTCAAACTTAATTCAGGATAAAAAAACTCCACAATAAACCGTACTGTTGCGAACAAATTCCGGATTAGTCTAAAATCTTGAAAAATTAGTTCTAAAATAAAAATGAAATCGGTCTGACTTTTTATTTAAGGTATTTACTTATAGTAAATAAAATATTTACTTCTACAGATCTTTTCGTGGCACTTTATAAATTCTATTATTATGAATTTGAAATCTCATGCGAGCGTGGTATAGTGGTTAGTGTATTTGATTTCGGTACTTTATAATGTTAGATAGGTGTAGGTTTGAATCCCAAGCGTTAGAAATTTTAATTTAATTTAAATAAAATTGCGATGGGTATATTGAAAAATATGTTAAATGTACCATAATGTTATAAGGATTAATATTTGTTACTTGTATTAAAATATTTTTATTAACCCTCGGAGAACACATGGGGTCATTTTGACCCCACGATTTTTTGCGAAAAGCTTTTTATCTATTGTTTAATATTTTTTATAAGGATTTTAAAGTCCACAGACTCATTTTACAGAGTTTAAACTATATTTTTAAAAAATCTTTAGGTTAATCAGATGAACAGTTCAAAATTGGTTGAGCATTGAAAAATGATCTAAAAAAGAGGTGTGTTCTCCGAAGGTTATAACGTTCACTAAATTGTCCGGACTAATTCCGGATGACAAAAACCTGACCATAAACCGCACTGTTTCACTCAGCTCAGCTAGTCGGACTTATGACGCTGTCCTTTAATTTTGCGCAAAAACTTTCGAACGGGAAAGTGGAGTATGCCCATGATGGTTCCCAATTGAACAAAGAATCAGGTGAGTGTCCTGCTATATGCATGTTATAAGTACATATATAGCTTCTTTCTCCATACATGGACAATCCGTGGGAAAACTGTCTTAAGAAAGCTTTCGCTATAATCAAGTCAGTTTCGGAGATTGATGTATTGTTCAGGATAAAAACTGCTTGAGAATATAAGGCTAAATATCTGAAATACTTTGGTTTTAAAATATCTTCAAGACATGGAAGGCAACAGTATAGCAGCCAATTACGCCATTCTGTAGCCTTCCATTTAGAATAAATGCTAATTAATGCTTCGAGGACGTCGGGAAATTTCAGAAGGAAATTTAATTTCATTCAGTTTGTTATTGATGTTTGTCATATTTGTTGGGTTCCCTATGTACTTATGTACTATGTATCCCTATGTACTATGTCTTTTCCGCTGTCTTCCATGAAATATTTCGTTAATTGCTTAAAGGTACCGTCCCATGACGGCGTAAAAGCGTCGGCGTAAAGCAGAAATCGTGCGATAGAAAGAGATGAACAGATATCACGTTCTCACCCACTCACATGGTTTACGCTTTACGCTGACGCTTTCACGCCATCATGGGACGGTACCTTTATGAATCCTTCGAAATGTCCATGACAATCATCGTGCACACAGCCAGCACGTAGATCGAAGTTTGGTAACATTGCCAAGCAACTGAAACCTGAAAATACATCAGGGAGCGTTCAGACCTCCGCATGCAAAACTTTTGCATGCAGGTTGCCATAGTAGCGTTCAAGAGTGAGAGAGATAGAATAATTTCCTGTCTCTCTCACTCTTGAACGCTACCATGGCAACCTGCATGCATAAGTTTTGCATGCGGAGGTCTGAACGCTCCCTGATGTATTTTCAGGTTTCAGTTGCTTGGCAATTTATTTCGAATCAATGTATTGTGAAATAAAGTAATATTGTTAATATTATAGTTATATTATATAAATATAAACATATTTTATTTTTCATTTATTCAAATATTAACATATGGGCAATTCCACGTGAGATTTTAATCGACCTCTTAAAATCGACCAAAAATATTTTTTTATTCTGTATCGAAAAATTCGTATTAATAAAAATTTCGTATAATCCTTATTAATAAAATCAGATGTCTGTCTGTACACTTGAATCCAACGATGCCTTCTCTCGGGGAAGGCACTAATTTGACGAGTTTTGACCACTTTCTATATTCTTTATAGTTCATGTCCATAATTTCAACGGAATTCTGCTTTTCTATTGGCTGATTTTTTAGACAATATAGAAGGTAGGCAAACTTCGTCAAATTAGTGCCTTCCCGGAGAGAAGGCATCGTTGGATTTAAGTGTACATTGCTTGAAACTTCGAAATGTTAACATGATTAGTTATTATGGACATCAGAGATTCCAAAAATATTCTTAAAAAATTTAATGTATGTACGTATGTATATGTATGTTTGTCACAAAAACTTTGTACCCCAATCACACAAAAACATGTGAACCGATTTAAGTCCAAGGAAGGTTTAAAAATTTACAGATTTAAAATATATATATATATGTATAAAATATGTATAAAAATGTTTTCAAAAAATCGAAAATTTCAAAATTTTACATTTTTTTATGGATTGCTTTTAAACTTTCTATATTTGAGTATTACATGCTATTTGGTCACATTTTAGCATAATTTTAAAAAAAATTCTATCCTACAACTAAGATGTGAATATAAAAATATTTTCAAAAAATGGAAAATTTCACATTTTTTAATGGATAGCTTTTAAATTTTCTAAAATTGAATATTATATGTTATTTACTCAGATTTTAGCATAATTTTGCAAAAAATACTATCCTATAAGTAGGGGAGGGTAGCCTACATTGAACCGGGTATTTTATAAAGACCAAGAACTAATAAAATTTTACTAATTTCGATCAGGTTTTTGTATCAAAATTAAGCTGAAGTACTCCTTTAGTTAATACACACGTTACAAACACAAATTATTATGATTAAATAATTAAATTTAATTTTTTTCTAACCAGTTACACTTTTCTTATTTTGAAGGATCTGTGTCTACATTGAACCAACTCTAATAAAACACTACAATTTAGGGGAGAGTAGCCCAGTAAAAAAAAACTAATTCAAATGAATTGAAACGAATTAACATTTTTGGTAGGCTCCAATTCGTATTTGTCACAAAGCGGGATTCACTCAAGCTCTTTGTATATTCAATTGAATTTAATTCAATATGTACCAATTTGTCCAAACGAATTCGCATTCGAAAGAAATGGCCAAGGAATGCATTGAATTCGTGCTAACGAATTGAAAAAAATTAAAGGCTCAAAACTTGTCCAGTGAATTGGTACGGATAGAAGGTTCGGAAGTTCAATACAGTTTCACGAATTCAGGAAAATTGCATCATGGCTCCAATTCGTATTTGTCACAAAGCGGGATTCACGAAAGCTCTTTGTGAATTCTTTTTAATTCATTTCAATTAGTTTTCGTTTACTGGGAGGCTACATTGAACCAGGTTTTTTATAAAGTCCAAGAACTAATTAAATTTTACAAATTTTGATCAGGTTTTTTTATCAAAATAAAACTGAAGTACTCCTTTAGTTAATACACACGTTACAAACACAAATTATTATGATTAAATAATTAAATTTAATTTTTTTCTAGCCAGTTACACTTTTCTTATTTTGAAGAATGTGTGTCTACATTGAACCACCTCTAATAAAACACTTCAGTTTACTTCGAAAATAATATTTCCACTTACACATTGTAAAAAATCTTATTCTCGACTCAAAAAAATAGAGAAATGTTGTTAAATAGTTATTATTTGTTAATATAGGAAGTTAATATATTTCGATGTCAGGTTAGCTAGCAAAAGTGACAGTTTAAGTTTATCTCGTTGACAATTGTAATGAAAGCATGTCTTTCAGTATTTTTCTTACTAATTAGTAGAGCAGATAACTTTACCACTCTTAAAATTGAAAATTCTTTGCTTTTTTGGGTGGTTCAATGATGCCGCACTCACTGTATTCACATGACATTCACAACAAAAATTGTTTATAATAAATTTATGTAAGACTTAAAATTCTGTATCACATCGGATTATTGAAGTTGACACACTAAGCGAACTAAATCACAACTTTACTAATGTTTAAAACTTCCTTTTTTAATAAAAAACATCATTATATTTCCACAAAATTTTTTGTTTTGTACGTGAAAAACAGTTTTTTTAGTTTTTCTTTGCAAATAATAAACCTACGTGCCGGAAATTTTTGGACATAGTCTGCTTTGGTAATACTAACTTATATACTAACTTATATATTGAATAAGAAAAAATTGCACTCAGTCATTTCTTAGAAAACTGAAGTGGTTCACTGTTAACGCTGGTTCAATGTAGCCTACTCTCCCCTACTTGAAAAATAATATTTCCACTTACACATTGTAAAAAATCTTATTTTTCACTCAAAAAAAAAATAGAAAATTGTTGTTAAAGAGTTATTATTTGTTAATATAGGAGATTAATATATTTTAATGTCAGGTTAGGTACACTCAGAGAAAAAGTTTATTTCACTTAACCAAACTGTTTAATTAACCTATTTTATTTGTCACGATAAAACAATTTTGTTGATTTAAATAAAAATTTGGTTTATTTTTATAAATACGTAAAATTTGTTTGGTTATTGGAAAGAAATTTTTTATTTGAAGTTGTTTGTTTCATTTAACCAAATTTGGGTTTTGAATAGAGAATATTGTTTAGTTAAATACAGTTTGATCGACACAACACACAAATTTGTTTGATTCAACCAAATCATTTTATTTGAGTCAAACAAAAATATTTGCTTGTCTCAAAAAGTACATGTGTGAATTTAAAAATGGCGATCTCACTTGTCTACAGTCCGCGTTCGCGTCAAATTTATTTGTTAAATCGGTAAATCAAAGAAAAAAAATTATAAGTGTCGGTTAAATAAATATTAAATACATTGTGTTCATTGACTTACTGCATATTTAATTTGTACCAGTGAGAAGAATATTTACAAAAAGGTTTTGTGAAGTTTTCAGTTTGTTGTTTCGAATAAACTTTTTTCTGAGTGCACGTATAAAAATCATAATAATTATAATATGTTTAATGTAATATTTCAAATGTTTTTTTATAATTAAGTAATTTTGTTTATATGAAGAAATACATATATAATATTTTACTTAATTGTTATTTATTTTCCTGTAATAATGTTTGAGTTTCCTAATTTAATATTTTCTAGTATACATATTATTGGTTAATTTATAATTTATTATATCTATAATTTTAAAATATCAATAATTATATAATAAATTATAAATTAACCAATAATATGTACTAGAAAATATTAAATTAGGAAATTCAAATATTATTAGAGGAAAATAAATAACAAAATTAAATAAACAAAAATATTTATTTAAATGAACCAAATACGTTTACTAAAACTATTTATTTGAATCAAACAAATCTTTTCTCTTGAAATAAACAAATTTTTTAGTTATATTTAATAAATTTTTTTGGTTAAGTGTAATAAGCATTTGGTTAATACAAATAAACGTATTGGAAGAAATTTTTTGGTTGAATCAAACAAACGTTTGGTTGACTGTATAGCAATGCATTTATTTGGTTGATTCAACCAAAATTTGGTTGTTTCGAACAAATTTTTTTCTGAGTGTAGGTAAAGTGACAGTTTGAGTTTATCTCGTTCACAATTGTGATGAAAGCATGTCTTCCAGTATTTTTCTTACTAATTAGTAGAGCAGACAACTATACCACTCTTAAAATTGAAAATTCTTTGCTTTTTCGGGTGGTTCAATGATGCCGCACTCACTGTATTCGCATGACATTCACAACAAAAATTGTTTATAATAAATTTATGTAAGACTTAAAATTCTTTATCACATCGGAATATTGAAGTTGACACCCAAAGCGAAATAAATCACAAGTTTACTAATTTTTAAAACTTCCTATTTCAATAAAAAAACGTCATTATAATTCCACCAAATTTTTTGTTTTGTACGTGAAAAACTGTTTTTTAGTTTTTCTTTATAAATAATAAACCTACGTGCCCGAAATTTTTTGACATAGTTTGTTTCAGTAAAACTAACTTATATATCAAATAAGAAAAAATTTCACTCAGTCATTTCTCAGAAAATTTAAATGGTTCACTGTTGACGCTGGTTCAATGTAGCCTACTCTCCCCTAAATATAAAAATATTTTCAGTATCAAAATAT